AAAGTTGTTTTCTATTTGAGAGGGGGCCTCTGTTCAAGAAATAGGTCTAAAAATAGTTTAGAGAGCCAGTATGGATATAGTGGATAGAGTTTCAGTTTAGAATTAAGGAGAGCTGGGTTTGAATCCCTTCTTGCCCATCAAAACATACTGCAGGGTGGTAATGGTAAAACCACTCCTAAAATATCTCACCTACCTTGAAAGTCCTACTAGGGTTGCTGTAAGTCAGATGCCACTTGAGGGCACTTGACACACACAAAAGTAGTTTCCATGAGGTTGACTAAATTTTGCTTTGGAGGGAAGGGATTACACTCCATCACTTGTAACACTCCTTTGTCTATTCACGGTTTCCTCTGCCTTGTTTCTTACCAGAGGAAATAAGTTAGGAAAAAAAGACAGCGGAGCTGAAGGGTGCAGTGCCTCATCTGGAATGGCCCTGCCTTAAGGAATTATGGATTGACCACTAAATACGACCCTTGCTCTTGCATTTTTATTTAAAAATTAATAAGTTTAAGGAGTGACAGTTTTGCCTCGGGACTAAGAGGAAGAAGGAGATGTGTTTAACCCTATCTTTATCACTATGACCTTACCATGACTGCCCCATCAAACCCACAAGTGCAGTTTCAGGAGATTGCCTCCTATTTGGTTTATTGTAACATGCTGTGCATGGGCTGTCTTTGGGATGTATTCTAAATCTCAGTCAGAACCAAAAATGTTGTGGCCAGGCTGTTGGCTGGAGCCAACTATAGGAAGAATAGAACTACAAGTGCTTCCCCGGCTATAGGTCAATTTCTAGGAACAACTCAAAGGCATGGATGGCTACGACCTGGAAAGGGCCATTATCTTCCTGTATGAGCCTGCTGAGGTCTTAAGATCTTCAGCATAGGCCTTCCTTTCTGCCCCACCACCCTCACAGGGACATTTGGTGAGGACAAAAGAGAGGGCCTTCTCAGTGGCTACTCCTGGCTTATGGAAATCCCCCTACTGGCTCTCCTTACAGTGGTTGTTGTTTAGTCATTAAGTCGTGTCCAAGATGCTGTCTAGGTTTGTCATCACTTTCCTCCCAAGAAGCAGACATAATTTCGTGGCTGCTGTCACCATCTGCAGTGATCATGGAGCCCAAGAAAGT